CCTTTGCTGATTGTGTCCAAAGAGTTCTATTTTAACTTCATCAGTCCACAGCACTTGTTTCCAAAACGCATCGGGCTTCTGTAGATGTCCTGTTGCATACTTCAGACGTTGGATTTTATGATGGGGACGCAGATAAGGTTTTCTTCTGCTGACTCTTCCATGAAGGCCTTGTCTGTGCAAGCATCGCTGCACAGTGGAACGGTGCACCACCACTCCTGAGTCTGCTAAATCTTCCTGCAGGTTTTTTGCAGTCAAATGGGGGTTTTGATTTGTCTTTCTGACCAGCATACGAGCAGTTCTGTCCGAGAGTTTTCTTGGTCTTCCAGATCTCATCTTGACCTCCACAGTTCCCCTGATCTGCCATCTCTTAATTACATTTCTTACTGTGGAAACTGCAAGCTGACAACGCTTTGCTATCTTCTTGTAGCCTTCTCCTGCATTGTGGGCATCAATAACTTTCATTTTCAGGGTCTTACACAGCTGCTTAGAGGAACCCATGGTTGCTGGGTGTCCACAAGTGTGTGCACAAGGTTTGAAGAGTCAAGGTATTTGTACAGCTTTGAAATTGGCATTTACCAATGACAGCTGTTGCTGTGCATCAGATCTACCGAGCTGATTAAGGTCTGAAACCTTGTGAGAGACTTTGAGACTCTGGAACTCTTAGGGTGCCCAAACTTTTGCACCATGCCATAATAATGTTTTTATTTTTTATTTTTGTTCAATTTATGGCATAAGAAGTAACTATGCATCACTGTTTGCAGAAAATATTGTGCATTTTTTCCATTTCCAAGAGAAACTGTGTTAACATCTGTTCAAATAAAAAAATCACCAAAATCTGTTATTTATCAAGGGGTGCCTAAACTTTTGCATAAGACTGTATGTTACTGTAAACGTGATCCAGAGTGTTCTTGCCCCGAGTGGAAATGTTCACGTGTTGGTAATATTTGGGGAGTGCAGTCCATAAATTGCACTGGTTAAAGTTGCCTGCAGTGATAAATATAGCATTGGGGTGCGCTGTCTCTAGCGCGTTGATGACATCATAGAGTTTACTGAGAGCCGCAGAGGGATTAGCTCTTGGGCTCATATACACAGCAGCCAGAAACAGGACACTGTGCTCTCTTGCTAGATAGAAGGGCCGGCATTTCAGCAATAAAAACTCTACATCTGGCAAACAGTGCTTATAAACAGTCCATGCATCTCCACACCATGAGTTATTAATAAACACACACCACCTCCTTTTACCTTCCCCGAAGCAGTGTGATCACCTGGATGTAGAGTGTGTGTTTGTAGCTGAATCGTGGAGTCTGGAACTCTGTCAGAAAGCCAAGTCTCGGTAAGAATTAGAGCACAGCATTCTCTGATTTCCCATTGTGCTGTAATCCTAGCCTTTAGCTCGCCCAATTTGTTGGACCATGTTCTCCACCTCCATTGCTGATGCGGCCACTCGGAGCTGTGACTGTAAGGTCTATGGTGCCTGTCGTGGCAGCAATCCCCAAACCCGGTGGTGGACACCGGAAGTAAGGGATGCCGGCAAGCTGAAGATTGAGTCCTTGAGCTTGGTTGGCTCGTGGGACTCCTGAGGCAGCTGACGGATACCGGCAGGCCAAGCAGACTGCAGCCCAAGTGGTTGTGAAGGCAAAAACTCGGGTCTGGGAGGAGTTCAGTGAGGCCATGGAGAGGGACTATCGGTTGGCCTCAAAGAAATTCAGGCAAACCAACTGGCGCCTCAGGAGGGGGAAGCAGTGCCCTGCCAAAACTGTTTACAGTGGAGGTGGGCAGTTGTTGACCTCAACTGGGGACATCGTCGGCCAGTGGAAGGAATACCCCAGTGTCATGTCTTCCGATGAGGAAGCAGAGGCCGGGGGCTCGGAGGTGGACTCATCCATCACCCAAGCTGAAGTCACCGAGGTAGCTGAGAAGCTTCTCAGTGGCAAGGCACCGGGGGTGGATGAGATCTGCCCTGAGTACCTTAAGTCTCTGGATGTTGTGGGGCTGTCTTGGCTGACATGCCTCTGCACGTCACATGGTGGTTGGGGACACACCGGGGTGGTGGTTTCTCTTTTCAAGAAGGGGGGGACCGGAGGGTGTGTTCCAACTATAGGGGGATCACACACCTCAGCCTCCCCGGGAAAGTCTATGCCAGGGTAATGGAGAGGAGAATCTGACCGATAGTCGAACCTCAGATTCAGGAGGAATAATGCGGCTTTCATCCTGGCTGCGGAACACTGGACCAGCTGTATACCCTCTTCAGGGTGGTGGAACGTTTATGGGAGTTTGCCCAACCAGTCCACATGTGTTTCATGGATCTGGAGAAGGCATTCAACCATGTCCTTTACGGTGCTCCAGGGCCCTTTGCTAAGCGCCATCCGGTCCCTGCATGACCGGAACAGGAGCTTGGTTCGCATTGCCAGCAGTAAGTCAGACTTGTTTCCAGTGCATGTTAGACTCCGGCAGGGCTGCCCTTTGTCACCGGTTCTGTTCATTATTTTTATGGACAGAATTTCTAGGCGCAGCCAGGGGCC